AACTACCGTGCCTCCCGGGGAGGTTCCCTTTTGAGATGTCATATTTGTGAACTTCACTAAAGATGTTTGTTTTATTTGTTTACCTGTATAGTGGGCTAAGTCCCATTTTGTTCTATATGTAATATATATATATATATATATGGCATGAGCTACTGTAATTATGGTGTCACGCCTATGATATATAGTTCAAAATTTCTGTCCCATATATGTCAACACAACTTTATGGACTATGCATGTATATTTTTTTCCGCAGCCCCTAATTATATGTTATTCTGTTAAGAGGCCTTTGGTAATCCAAGGATTATTGGCAGGTTACGATACTAAACCTACAGGGGCGGGTTTGGGTTGTTACAATGGCCAAACACTCTCACTCGTTCGCTCACTCCACTCACTCAGATCTCTCTCTCTCTCTCTCTTCTAGATTTTCTGTTGCTATCTTGCCATCGTTGGCCACTCTCGCCTCCTCGCCATTGCTACCTCATTTCGCATTTCGTTGTCGCTGCCTTCAACTCCCTATCTCTCTTTCATCAAATCTATCTCTTTCTTTCTTCCTCTCTCTGTGTGTTTCCGTCATTATTGCCCCTGCTTTACTCCGTTGCCTACTATACTTCTTCGCCATTAGCCATGGCGTTTGCGTCGTTGTCAACGATTACCGGAGTGAGCTAATTTCAAAGAGAGAGATCCACTTTCTTTGATGAAAATCCTCAATCATCAAGGGATTCAAGAGTTCCACCCCAAAATCTGAGAGATCCCAGAGATCTACCCTGAAATCCAAGAGAACTAGTTGTATAGGCGATCGCCGTCGATGCCGAAATCACCATAATGCTTCAAGATCAGATGCAGTTCACGCAGATCTGAAGAAATATGTGATTCTTTAGTTCATGAACTATCGTCTCCATTAGAGGAGATCCTTGGTTCCTTGGAAACTGTTGATCTATATCTATGTTCTTCTTCAGTTCATAAGTTATTAACTCTACTGCCATCTTCTCCAGATCTGTATTTGTATTGAATTTATCTCCATTCCTTATGTATTTGTGTTGAATTTGATTGAATTTTGTCATAATTAGGAACTAGAGGATTGAAATTGATAGGAAGTTTATAGTGCTTGTGGTTATCTCTTTGGTTGTGTGTGTGTGTGTGTGTGTGTGTGTGTGTGTCTATTTGTTGTGTTTTGGATAGAAAATGTTGTGTTTGATCTAAAATAGAACAAATAATATTATGTTTGATACAAAAATTGAACAAATAAATATATGATCAAAATTTAAACATATAAAATCAAAAAATTAAATAGATAGGATCAAAATTTGAATAGATAGATTAAAAATAAGCTTAGTAAAATTAACAGATAGATTCAAAAAAAATCAACAAATTGAGAGAGAAAAAAGAAGAAAGAGAAATAAATAGAGAGAGAAAGAGAGGTGGTGAGAGAAAGTATGAAAATAGTGTGAATTTGAATAGATAGAAAATATAAATTATAAAAATTTAATAGATAGGTTAAAAAAATTCAACAGATAGACAAAAAATTTAAACAGGTAAACAAAAAATTTGAACAGATAGAAAAAATTTAAACAGATAGAAAAAATTTAAACAGATAGATATAAATTTGAACAGATAGTCAACGAAAAATCAAATAGATAAAAAAGTCATGGGGTAAAATGGGAAATAAAATATTCTCCAGGATTTTTCACCAAACTATTTTACAAAGTATGGACTTAACATCAACAAAAATAATATCTCTTCGACCTAATGCCTTAGACAATTGTTAGAGTGGTTTTTTTTTTTACCAATTTTCTCATTATTAATTTATAAGTAATTTAGATTAAGTAGAATTCTTTAACATTTTTTATTTTAGTACTAATTAGGTATAAGGGTATATTATTGTGGCATTTTTAAAAGTATGAGAGAATAGTGATGCACTACATACAAAAGCGAAAAAAAGAAAGATAAGAGAAATATGTCACATAGGAAAGAGAAAAAAAATTGAGGGTAAACAATATTTTAATAATGGGTATGGCTTCTGTCTAATCCGGGATCGGACTGGACCGTGCTGTTGGGCCCGTGGGGGCCTACCACGCATTTTTAAAAGTATGAGAGAATAGTGATGCACTACATGCAAAAGCGAAAAAAGAAAGATAAGAGAAATATGTCACATAGGAAAGAGAAAAAAAATTGAGGGTAAACAATATTTTAATAATGGGTATGGCTTCTGTCTAGTCTGGGATCGGACTGGACCGTGCTATTGGGCCCGTGGGGGCCCACCACGAGTCCCGTTTTGATAATCTGAACCGTTCAATGTGTAAAACTCATCGAGTACTATATGCCTGTAAAAAATCACGTTGATCAGATATCGATAGCTATATGATCAAATCATTTCGTATTAAAAAAATTGAACGGTGAACAAATTAACGGTTGACAAAAAACTGATTTGATCATACAGCTATCGATATCCGATCAACGTGATTTTTTGCAGGTATATAGTACTCGACGATTTCTACACATTGAACGGTTCATATTATCAAAACGGGACCCGTGGTGGGCCCCCACGGGCCCAACAGCACGGTCCAGTCCGGGATCCCGGACTAGACAGAAGCCATACCCTTTAATAATATATATGATTAGGGGTGTGCGCGGTGCGGTTCAGATGGTTTGAGAGTAAAATTATAAACCAAACCGTGAATGGTGGATTGAGAAATAATCAAACCAAGGCTTGGGGCGATTTCAATTTGTTAATTGATTGAAGAATATTTTTAAACAATTATCAAACATTTGCATAACATATAATACTAATTTGCATAATATTTTTCATATATAACACAAAATAATTTGCATCATATTTTTTATATATAATTATTAATTTGCAACAAATTTCAAATCTTAAATCTCTCTCACATTCATTTTTACTTTGATATTTTATTAGAAAATACAAAAAAATATGTATTAACTATAGTGGAGCGGAATGGCTTCGAAGATGGTTTATAAATTTCAAATTTTAATCCATGATTAGCTGATGAATTGATGTGGATTGGACGGTTTTAACGAATTAGACAGTATTTTGTATAATAGGTTTTTTTGAGAAATTGATTAAAAGTTGATTTTTTTTAAATTTTTTTTTAAAAAAACATATAAAAAATAGAAAGGTAATGTCACTCATAATAAGTTAAAAGTTAAAAATTGACTTTTAATCATATTTTTAAATTGGCCCTATATGATAATATGATGATGATTATAAACATAAGTTATATTAAAAGCAAGTTTGAGAACTAGTTGAAATAGTAAAAAAGTCAATATTAAAAAATTAATTATTCTCTTTATTTTTTATACCTCTTTTAATAACAAATTAAAAATTAAATAAAATAATAAATTATCAAAATAACCCCTTAATATTCAAATAGAAATTAAAAAAAAAAAAAAAAACACTACAAACAATGTCTATAAATTTCACTAAAAGTCCAAAAGTTTTGGCTGTTTGTATCTATCCCATCTGTGGGAGCGTGGTGTTGGGGTGGGGTCTCGTACGAAGAAAACGTTAAAAATGCAAAACGACAAAAGCAGAGCCCGAGGGGACGGGATGGTAAATGGTGGAGTTGGTAGGTGGCGTGTCTTTATTCGGATTTTACGACTCCTTTCATTTCAAAACTGTGTTTGGTCTGAGTTCTCTCAATTAAGTTTTTTGAAAATTAAATTTTTAGTGTTTATATTTTTTTTATTTTTAGTAAATATTTTTAAATTTTAAATATATATTTTTTATTTTTTTTAGATGTACCTTACTTAGATATATCTAAAAAATAAAAAATTTGTGAAAAAATATTTTTAAAAATTAATAAATATATAAAAATATAAAAAAATATACTAAATTCTTGTATTTTTTTTTGTATTTTTGGTTTAGTGAATTTTTAAAAGTTTTTTTCACAATTTTTTTACTTTTTAGGTATATTTATGTTAGGTATGTCTAACGAAGTAAAAAAAAATTACTTAAAATATTAAAAAAAATTAGTAAAAACAAAAAAAATACGAAAAATAAGAAAGTAAAATTTTTAAAAAAATATTTTTAAAAAACTGTAACCAATCATCTTTTACCTATTAAAAGATTAAAAAAAAATAAAAATAAAAATAAAAAAAGATCGGAAAATTAATATTACATCTTCAAACAATCAAAATTAACAAAAATTAAAATTAATTCAATATTTAAAATAAATAAAGAAAACATCACTCTTAAGTTAGCTCTTAAGTGTACTAACTAATATATCAACGCTAGTTATGACATTATTATTAACTCTACTTATTATACAAATTATAAATATTAAAAATATTTTAAATTATATCATATCATCAATTGATACACTAATTAATATACTAATGCCTCGTTTGGTAAGTAAAAAAGTCACTAAAAAAAATTAAAAAACTAACAAATTATACCAAAAAGTCAAAAAAAATTTTCTCTCCACTTTTTACATATTTTTTCATAAAAAATTAAAAAATCATTTCAAATATACTAATTTTTTTAACTTATATTTTAACTAGATAATCAAAAAATTACTAAGGCTAAGTTTGACTATCCTAAATAAGTACACACTTTCTATCTTTTTATCTTTTTTTCATCACATTATTTCTCTACTTTTCTACACATCTTTTCATAAAAAGATAAAAAAATACACTTATTTAGATTATCCCAAACAACCCTTAATTCAAGACGAGGGTCCTGTTTGGTAGAGCTGTGTGAAAGTGCTTATAACTTATGCCTTAACAGCTTATAGCTTATAACTATAAACATAAGTTGATTTCTGACTTATAAATTAAGCATCTCCTAGCCTACTAAAAAAATAAGCTGATTTCTGACTTATAAAAAGCTATAAGTTACATTATTAAGCTATACTAAATACATCAAAATAACTTAATTTAAACTAAAAACTAAAATAAATAGCTTTTAAGCTGCACCAAACAGGCACGAGGCCCTAAATAATATAACATTACTCTTTTTAATACTATACAGTAAAGCCAGGGAGAGAGAGAGTGTGAGAGAGAAAAGAGTTGTAGATAAGGAGAAAAAAAAAAAAAAATAAACAGAGAGGGTTTCGAGGAAAGGAGACATGCCCAATTTCATTCCAACAACTCTGTTTCTTGTTTCTTCTCACCTTACCCGATCCCAAAGGTCTCTCTCTCTCTCTCTCTCTGTAAATATATATATACACATAGGGCTGTGTATGTGTGTACACATATGAATATATAGTAGTTTTATATTTTTATCCAGTTCCAGCCTTCACCTTCATATATTGCTTCATTTGCTCTTTCTTGTTATGGGTATGTGATAGATAGGTGGTTTGGTCCTTGTATGCTAATTCTTGAATTGCATGTGGAGTCTGAGATCATGCTGTGTTGTAAGGAGTAGATGGGATAGGAGATTTGGATATGCCTGTTGCTATTGTTTTGTATGTACTCTGTTTTTTCTTTCTGGGTTTTCTGATAGAAACTCTCACTCTCTCTCTAGACTCTCTGTCTCCCTGAAACTTCTTAGTAAAAAAAAGAGGGACCCCCCTGGGTTCTGATACCATATGTTTGTGCAACTATACTCTTGATTGTTTTCCTTCTTTTCCTAATAGGATTATTATTATTATTTCCTTCCTTTTTTGATAATTGTTTTCAATTAGTATTTGTAATTTTTTAATAACCCATTTGGATTTCATCATTTGTGGTTTGGTAGCTCATGACTGTTAAGTTATTGAACTGGATGCATGGCCATTTTGAATTGTATATGGATCTCTCTGCAATTGGCTTTGGTGCCCAAGTGCTATTGTTGGACTAATTGATCTTTATATTTTGTCGAAACCCTCCCCTAAGAAATTGGAAAGGATTTTTGTTAGTAGGAAATAGCTTCTTCTTTAATTCATTTCTTCCCATGGAATAAAGCCCCACTGATCCCGATATCGATTAACAAAGAATAATTTGATCGTTTTTATACTTGTTTTGAACTAGGGTTTTGGATACCAGTCTATTAAACAAGCTGTTTACTTTGGTAGATGCAATAAGTTGAAAACTGTTTGTACACATCTTGGTTTTGGATACCAGTCTATTAAACAAGCTGTTTACTTTGGTAGATGCAATAAGTTGAAAACTGTTTGTACACATCTTGGCATTGTTTTCATGCATTTGGAATAATGTATTGGTTAGTTTGAGCATAGTTCCCTAGATATATGCAGTATATCTAGTTTTTCTGCATTCCAATTGCATGAAGGAAATATTGTTCAGTTCAGAATTCTTGGAACCTAAGAAACACGGACACGGGACTCAGTGATTTTTTTTTAAAAAAATAGAGACACGAACATGACGGGGATACGACAATAAAATATATTGTTTAAATATATTTTTTTGCTCTACAAATTAATATTACATCTTCAAACAATCAAAATTAACAAAAATTAAAATTAATTCAATATTTAAAATAAATAAAGAAAACATCACTCTTAAGTTAGCTCTTACTATTTATATCTTTTTTATGATTGATCTATTAAGTATTTAAATCTAAACAAAATGTAATAAACATTCAACATCCAATATCCATCAAGAAAGCACCAAAAAAGAGGGGGGAAAAAACTAGTTGGTATGTCCCCAACATGTCCTTTGAAAACAAATTATTTAAATAAAGGGATACTCCACGTAGCGTGTCCCGGTATCCAACACCATTTTGACACTAGTTTTAAAGTGTCAGTGCTTCATAGATTGAAACAGTAAATATGTCATACAAAACTAGGGGAGTTGGTGAAGATAATTGCTCGAAAACTAGATGGCTCAGGTTCTCCACATGATTACTGAATGCACATGATTGGTGAACATCCATTGGGATTAGTCTTCTCGACACAAAATGGCATGGGAACACCTCACCACACCCAAAAACTGGAAATGAATGTTACCGTGGAAGAAAAAGGCATAATAAGATACTTTCAAGTTTATTAACTGCCACTTTTGCCAAAAGCCAAATGTTTGGTTTGTATATAGTCTCCCCATCCATCATCCCAATTAATTTAGGAAAGAGCATAGTTATTTTATCTTCTGGATTGTTGTTGGGCAAGCTCATATTTTATCTTTGTTACCCTTTCTTAATAATGAGAAACCGAGCTTTTGAATCACTGAATAACATTGTGGCAGTTGCTCGATTTCTGTAATATGTAGAAGACTGAGATGGTGTAGCTAGATTGTCTCAACTTTTTCTTCATGGAAGAGTTTCACATTATGTTGACATCTTCCTCTTTTATTTATTTATTTATTGTTTTTTTCATTAACATTGGTGAAATAGTCAAGTGCATGAATGACCATATAGTCAAGTGCATTCCTTTTCGTTATAGTTTAGGCCATCAAGTGCTTAACCATCCCCTAACCTATCTCGTAGTTGACATATCTGTTTTGGTGGTAAACAAATGGTTTTCCAATCAACTTGCTAAATCAATTAATGACCAAATAATAGAATAGGTTATTTCATGATCAACTGACCGAAAACTAACCTATTTGGGATATAGACAATGAAGGAACTCATTCTAACTCCTTGAACTCCCAAGTATACCATTGAATTGGTCTCATTTGTAAAAGCGCCTTTGTGGTGCTGCATCTGAGCAAATGTATTATTGGATGTACTGGCTCAAGGTCTCCGCACAACATGGATTAGATAAATCTTATGGCAAGCTATGGTGAAGATAACCACATGTTGTATAATATTTACCAACCGATACATTTAAATACATGTAGATCATGAATTCATGATATCATCGAAAGAATAAAGGATGTGGATGGTGAACTTTGATTTTAACCCATAAAAGTGTGAAATTAACTTTGCTTAAAAACTCTCATGCTTGAGAACTATTGGTTATTATTTGAGCTCACTCATGGATGTGGATATAGTTTAGAATTAAGACACAAATTATTGTTTTTGACTTTAATGGAGAATATAAATATCTTCATTATGAGCTTAGAGATTGCGATTTCTAGCATGTTTTTATACATAGCTCTTGGTGGCTAATCTTAGAACCAATACTTCATTTGGATTCATAAGGTTATACCAAAAGCATTGCCAGTTATTTAAAAAAAAAAGGTTGATCTCACCATTTTCTCTTCATGAAATTTGGGTGTCCATCTTAGTATTATTGTAAAAAGTGGATCGGTTGGTTCTACCTTTTATCCACCCCCCCTCCCCCTCTTTTTTTTTGGTGTCTTTTCCCATCATTTATTCTGCACTAAATACCATGAAATTAGAAATTGACTATGGCCAATGGTGGCGGTTGTGGGACTTCCTATCCCAGTCCTTATGCTTCAATAACCTGTGGATAATTGTATATTGGGCTTCATTTTGCATTCATTGATATATGTATGTGATTACATAGTAATATCAATAAAATTGGTGCGGGAGCATCCTTACATTGTTAGTTGTTTTGGTTGTCCACTTGTGTTGGTTAAGAAAATATTTTAGGCTTGGATTATACATTACTAAGATTTTGGCAGCCGCAGATATTTTCTTCTTCTAGTTTTTTAATCTATGTTTTTGGCTTTTGATTTGGAGAAGCAATTTTTATATGCCAAAGATGATTGCTTCAATGAAGAAGTCAATTTTTTTTAATGATTTTGTTCATCTCTTTGCTGATTGTCTACTCTTGTTTAATTCAAGAAGTCAATTTTTATAGGCTAGAGATGATTGGTTATTTATTGTCGTTCAATCAAAAGTGATTTGTTTTTTTTGACAGTTGTCATCTTATTCAAGATGCAACTTTTATTGTTTCATATTAGTTTTTCAATTGTTGAGAGGGTGGCTTTGATTTTTTATTTGTTGTCCTTGAACAGCTAATCTAATAAAGTAGATGGCTATACGAGTTCAAAATTTTCCCAAGAAAGCTTTTGATCAAAGTTCTATTTATTCAATGTCCAATTTTGCTGTTAATTGCCCATCATGGTGGAATTCACAAGAACAACAATTTCCTCAATCCATATCCAAACATTTAAGCTTGAAATTGGAATCTCCACCTCAACTCTGTGAGGAGGCAAGGCATTTACGTCTTCAACGACATGACCAGGACTCATCTTCAACTCAATCGACTGTTCAATCTCACCATGAAGTGACTGCTATGGGAGGGACGAATGCTCAAGATCAAAGCATTTCATCAGAATCTGGTATTTTTGCATTAAGTTCTTGATTACTTTTTGCAATTTGCCATTCCTTATTTGTGTAATCATACTTATAAGGTGCCAATAATCATTAATCACCATTAACGACATAAACTACTTGAACTCCTCTTCATATTTGAATTCCTGTCACACATTACTCTTTTCAGATATGTGATTATGGGAGTTAAATAACCAAAAAGTCTTCTGAGTTTGATTATTTATATGATTTGTGACCATATAATCGGCCAAAGGGTTGTGATTATGCTTGCTGTTTAAGAATCTAGTTCATACTTCCTACTATTTTCACCTTAGTTTTTAATATTGAAAATAGTAATTTTAGGTTACTTGATGATATCTTTTTTCATGAGGTTATCAGTCCCGTATGGTATAGCTTGCATTGATGTGGTATTAGCAACTACCTTAGCATTTGGGCCACAAATTGTAGAACTTGAGAAAGTTACCAAGTTTCTCTCTCTCCCTTGTATATCTATAGTTGCTCTATCAATTGCCAATTCTTGACCATTGAGGTTCATTTTATTTGTGGACCAAAAAAAAAAAAAAGAGATCCATTTTGTTTGACGTCGGTATATTTATCCTACAATTTCTGTGATTCATTCTTCTTCTTCTTATCATTCGTCTAGCATTAATAATCAATTTGCTTTGTCTATGCATTCAGTTCCAGATGAAAGCTATGAAAAGCATTCAGAATTTGTTAATATCAGTCCTTCACAGATTGATTCTAGCCAGTCAATTGTAAGTCCATCTGCTGCAGATAGGTTTTTGCTTTGTTGGCTAAACTAATACCTAACGCTCATATTGCCTACCATTTCAGAATCACATTCCACATCCTTATGCTGATCCTTACTGTGGTGGGTTATTCGCTTCCTATGGTCCACCAACTGTAGTAAGTACTTTTGAGCTCATTGTTCGTGTTTTCCATCGGTTTGCCACTATGAGTGGGCTGTCTATTTGGATTTTGTTTAGTAGAAATTATAGAATTATCATAACTCTTGTTGCAGAATTTATACGTGTGTGTCGGTTATATTTCTTTTGGAGTGTGAAGTGTTTTCTTTTCTTTCTTTATTTTTCTCGCCTAAAAATTACTCATTCCACATCTTTCAATGGACCTGATTTTCTTAACTTCTGAATTCTTATTTGGTAAGGTTCCTTTCTTATGTACCACGTGGATGGTAAAGTTTGTTCTTTTTATTTTATTTTATGTTTTTCAAACATTTCAATTTTGTTTTAATGATGGCTCGTGGTTGTGTGAGGCTTGTCGAACTTCTCGAGTATGCTTCTTGAGGAAGTGTGAATCTATTTTTCTTCCTCCTACTAAACCTATGTATGCTATTGCTTTTTTGTTTTTTTTTTTTTCACATTATTTTGTTGCTTGCTTTTGTAAAGCTTTTTATGTTGGATGGAGCTTGGTGACCATCACCAAATTATATACTTGAAATTGCTAATATATGTTAAAAAAAAAAAAGAAAGCTTCAAGTTAAATTACTTCCATATCTAGAATTCTCAAAACTTTGAAGCACATTCTTCTCGTGTTCGGGTGCTTGATATGTTTTCAATGTCATTTTCTTCTCAGTATCCCTCTTTTGGACTGTTGTAGTATATATTGTATATTTGTGTGACTCAAAGAAAATCCAGTAGAAAAATCAAAGTTGCATTTGGCATTACTTAAATTTTTAGCTTGAAATAATGAGATTGTTTTGTCTGATTAATTAGTAGGATATAACCTATGAAGTACGGATACAGATATAGACACGAACACGGACACGAGATACAGCGATTTCAAAAAAATGAGGACATGGACACGGACACGGACACGGTGGGAGACACGGCAATTATATATATATATATATATTTGATACGTAAATTAGTATTATGTTATTAAACAATCAAAATTAACAAAAATTAATATTAATTCAATATATATAAATATCACTATATCTATATTTATAGAAGTAAAAAAAATAAATAGAGAAAATCAAAAAATATATTAGAATAATTATAAATACAAAAATATATATATATATATATAAAGGAAAAAAAAATTATAATCTCAACCACTATGCACCAACAGGAAACTCAACTATTGCATCAGTCCATCATTATAAGCACTCTACAGAAAGTAATCATCATTTTATGAGCACCCAACAGCCCACTATCTTCCATATTTAATCCTAATCTAGATTTCTTCCCCCATCTTCTTTATTTAATAGGGGACTTAGGTGTATATGTTAATAGGTAAACTTATTGTTCAATAAGTTTTGTAAGAATTAATGGCATTTTTCATCGAACACTATTAAAAATGTCACTAATTGTTAATTTTCAGTGGCAGTTTGAAAATTGTCACAAAAAATGTCACTAATTATAAGTTTTAGCAACAGTTTAAAAAAATCGTTGCAAAAAAAAATCACTAATTTTCAACTTTCAATGATAGTTTGAAAAATTTATTGTAGAAAAATGTCACTATTTGTAAGTTTTAACGACAATTTATAAAAATCACGACTAAAAAAAAAAAGGTCACTAATTGTCAATTTTTAACGATACGCAAAAAATCTTCATAAAAAATTATTTTTAGCAATGATTTTATTAGGATTTATTTTCAATAGGACTTGATTGGAATTAAGTTCAACTATTGGGACTTATTGGTAGTTTACCCTATTTTTGGTATTAATTACTCCGTATTTAATATCCATTTGTAATTAGAAAAAATAAAAAATAAAAAAAAAAGAAGAGAGGAGAGAAGAGAGAGGCAGACGCTAGAGAAGAGAGAGATAGATGCAGACGTGAGAGAAGAGTGACAAGCGAGAGGCGACAGTGATGGAGATCGATCGGAGATGGAGTAGGTTTGATTCTCTTCTCTCAATGAATGGAGATCGACGACTGACTTCGCTAGTCGTTGAGCAAGTCAGGTTCGATTCTCTTCTCTCTTTTTTTCCTTCTAATTTTAGATTTAGGTCTATTGTCTCGTTTTTCTATTTCGTTCAAATTAGGTTAGGGATTTTTGATTTTTTTTTCTCTTTTCTCCTCGTCGTGTCCCATTTCAAAAAAATAAATAAATTAAACAGACATGCTAAATGGCGTGGTGTGTCTCGTATGTGTCCCTGGTGTGTCCGACACTGCTACGACACCTATGCTGCTGTGTCTATACTTCATAGGATATAACCCTTTGTTTGTGATACACTTGAGTTAAGTAATTACCTATGAAGCATGGATACTGACACGACACGCGAATATGGCATGGCATAGACATGTCGATACAGAAAATTTCAAAAAGTAGGACATGGACACGGTTCAGACATGTCACAAATAATTATATTTTGATATTATATTATTTATGAATATATTATAAAGAGATGCGATACAATGACGGTAGATGACAGTGTTAGGGGAAGGGGTAGTCCTAGATTGACGTAGACTAGTGTAGTAAATAGATATATGAATCTTCTTAATTTGATTAACGAAATGGCCTTGGATATAATTGAATGGAGAAGAAAGATTCATACAGCCGACCCTATTTGATGGAACTTAAGCCTTGGTTTGGTATATTATATTATATAGTTATATATGTATATAATATATATAAAATTAAATAATTACTTTATGTGAAGTAAATCTTTCGTCTACTTCTCTTACATGATTTTTTACACTACTAGACCATAGTAGTTAAAAATGATACAAACAAACATATATAATTATAAGTTGACCCGGACATCCGATTATCAAAAAAAAAAAAGAAAAAAGAAAATGCATATGTAATTGTATTTATCCCATCCTCCTAAGCCTTCTGCTAACACATAATGTATCTTTTTAATTTTTCATTTAATTTTATGTGTAACTTATATAGAATTGTTCTTACTAATTATACATTTTAAAGGGTACAAGATATTTATGTCAAATTCTTACTTTGAAAATCAAACATTAGCAAATGTTTAGAATGCGTTAAGTCTCGTGTTTATTTTTAGTGTTAGACATGCCAAGAACTGACGAGCACGTTGCAAATGACTGTTAGACACTTGTATGGACACGGAAAAAAGAGTATTGGACACGTGTCCAAGAGTGTCCAAGGAGAGAGTATTGGACACGTGTCCAAGAGTGTCCAAGGAGTGTAGGAGTGTCTAACGTGGACGCAACACTTTTTTACCAGTATATGTGCTTCTTTGTATAAAGGATGTGGATGGTGAACTTTGATTTTAACCCATAAAAGTGTGAAATTAACTTTGCTTAAAAACTCTCATGCTTGAGAACTATTGGTTATTATTTGAGCTCACTGATGGATGTGGATATAGTTTAGAATTAAGACACAAATTATTGTTTTTGACTTTAATGGAGAATATAAATATCTTCATTATGAGCTTAGAGATTGCGATTTCTAGCATGTTTTTATACATAGCTCTTGGTGGCTAATCTTAGAACCAATACTTCATTTGGATTCATAAGGTTATACCAAAAGCATTGCCAGTTATTTAAAAAAAAAAAGGTTGATCTCACCATTTTCTCTTCATGAAATTTGGGTGTCCATCTTAGTATTATTGTAAAAAGTGGATCGGTTGGTTCTACCTTTTATCCACCCCCCCTCCCCCTCTTTTTTTTTGGTGTCTTTTCCCATCATTTATTCTGCACTAAATACCATGAAATTAGAAATTGACTATGGCCAATGGTGGCGGTTGTGGGACCTCCTATCCCAGTCCTTATGCTTCAATAACCTGTGGATAATTGTATATTGGGCTTCATTTTGCATTCATTGATATATGTATGTGATTACATAGTAATATCAATAAAATTGGTGCGGGAGCATCCTTACATTGTTAGTTGTTTTGGTTGTCCACTTGTGTTGGTTAAGAAAATATTTTAGGCTTGGATTATACATTACTAAGATTTTGGCAGCCGCAGATATTTTCTTCTTCTAGTTTTTGAATCTATGTTTTTGGCTTTTGATTTGGAGAAGCAATTTTTATATGCCAAAGATGATTGCTTCAATGAAGAAGTCAATTTTTTTTAATGATTTTGTTCATCTCTTTGCTGATTGTCTACTCTTGTTTAATTCAAGAAGTCAATTTTTATAGGCTAGAGATGATTGGTTATTTATTGTCAAAAAAAAAAAAAACTTAAAAAAAAAAAAAAAAAAAAAACTCAAGTAATCCAAACCCAAAGAAAAAAATCTTATATGAATTTTTTTTCTTTATATATATTTATATATATATATATATATTTTAATTTATGGCACAGTTTTTATTTTATAATCATTTCATTTAATAATTGTGAATATTTTTTATTCAGTTAGTTCATGTATTGGTAAAAAATAATTTGAAGACATTTAAAATCAATTATTCTTAAAATCATTAACTATTAAAATAAAATGTAAAAAACTCATTTTATAGTGATTTGAAAATACGAAATATACTGGATCACACTTAAAAATTAACAAAAAATTGATCAAAATTGATTTTAAACCCCAATAAATGTGATTTTGAAAAAAAAAGTATATATATATGTGTGTGTGTGTGTCTCGGTAAGTTTTCTTCAAATTGTGTGAAAAATAAAAAAAATTACGGTTTCGGTTACTGCAACTGTTACGCTACAGTCTTTACATTTCGTAGCCGCAGCCACAACTGCAACCGCTACTGCGTCACAGCAACTTTTACCCCGACCGCAACTGCTTTTCAAAACCTTGATAATGACTAAAATATCATTATACAGTCAATTTTACTTAACGAAAATAAGCAAATGATTTAGATTGAAAATAAATCAAAAGATTAGGGTTTAAATTAACAAAATTAAAAACAGTGTTTATTTTGTTAGAAGGCTCAAACCTTGGGAGTTTTTTTTTTTTTGTAATTTTCCCTTTTTTAATTATTTTATTTAATGTTCTCTTGGCATAGTTCCTTCTACAATTGTAATTTCTATTGTAACTTGTCCAGATTCAGCCACAAATGGTGGGAATGACTCCTGCCCGGGTTGCACTGCCTCTTGATCTAGCAGAGGATGGTCCTATTTATGTCAATTCAAAACAATACCACGCAATCCTCAGAAGGAGACAGATGCGTGCAAAGCTTGAGGCCCAAAACAAACTAGTCAAAACTCGAAGGGTATGTACATTCCACTGAATCAGCTTTACTCGAAGTTGGCTTTCATTTCTCTCAACTTGCCTCTTCTCTCTCGACTTAAATACAAAAGGAACCAAGAATCATAGCTTTTGGGATGTTGTTATGCTTGGAGTTGTTTTGCATTTCATGATAGTATCATTGTTGTTAGAATCTTACAATTCAGGAATTTCGATACAAGTTTTAACCAAAATGATTTGATTGGTTTTGTTGAATTGTAAGATATTAAATTGAGTGAATTTTATGATTCAATTGTGATTCACTACGATTTGTTACTTGTTAATTCAATTTGGTTTGCGTAATGAATGGAACATCATTTTTGCAAAAAATAAAAAAATAAAAGTATTATATTGATATATGTGCATATGATTTAGTTATATTGATATTTGTTTCATTTTAAATACTGTGTATTTTTATACGTAAAATTATATGTTATGCTGGAATTATATATTATGCTAAATTAAGTGATACTCACAATTCACAATTTGATAAGAGTCACAAATCACTATTTTAACAAAATAATTTATGATTCGATTTGCGATTTGACAACGATGAATAGCATACCATTGTTGTCACGGGAGTGTTTCTCCTATTTGTTTTTTGTTGAAATCGTGGCAGACTTACAGTTGTTTTTTGTTAAATGCAGCCTTATCTTCATGAATCTCGGCATGTGCATGCCCTAAATAGGGTTAGGGGATCTGGGGGACGCTTTCTCAGCACGAAGAAGCTTCAACAACCTGATCTGACTCCCACCCCTGATTCCCGGTGCATCTCGAATTCGATTCACTCATATAAAAAAGATGCATCCGAGTTTGAAATCTGTCAGTCAGAAACTGTGGAACGTGGTGCATCAATCCCTTCCTTCTCTAACGTCACAGGCGTTTCAAACAGTGATGTTTTCCAGCAGCCATATCACAGGTTCTCAGCCATCTCTCCTCACACGGATGTTGGCAATGGAACTCGGCACTGTGCTTCGGTCATCCGGTGAGACATTGGAACGAGCAAACCGTGTCAGTGGTTGGGCAATTCATCCTTGGCTTTGTCACCTTTATTTTAACTGCTTTGAGCTTACTAAAAAAAAAATAGTAGTAGAGACACCGTCGTGTGCTAAATTACTGTGCTGCTTGTTTTCTTCTACGCACCAAAAACTGTGTTTTGAAAGAGGTTCATGTTTGGCATGTCATCCATGATTTAGGCCAAGTTTGGCTAACCTAAAAAAGTGCACTTATTTTATTTTTTTATCTTTTTTTGGGTCACATTAATCAACATCTCCTCTCTACTTTTTCTACACATAATGCAAAAAAAATCAAAAAGTACACTTATTTAGTCTTCCCAAACTTAGTCTTAGTCTGTTATGTTGCAAGTATTTGTGATTACATCAGCCTTTTTTCTTTTTTTTTTTTCGGACATCATTGACCTGACAAGAAATAGGAGGATATGACATTCTTGTTTCGGCATAAAATATTTTCTATAGAATTTTTTTTAAAAAAAAGAAAATGTTTTTCATAGAAATTAATGCATAGTTGCACTAGCTGTTGACCAATGATGTACGGGCTAATATAAAAAATATGTATGTATTTTATTTTGATGACATGTGTTGCAAATGAATAATATTAATTTTAATTTAAAATTAAAGTGTGATTCTACTTATTTATTTTTGACAATACTAGTCCTATCATTTTATAAAATTATTACTTAAATATTTATATATAATAATTTTAATTAAATTATTTATGTATTTTAATAATTTTAGTTTTATCGTGTTATTAAAGTGTAATTATCATATAAAGATTTTATATGATATTATATTAAATTATAGGGAAAATTAGTGAAACATTCCTCTCTAACTTTGTGTAGTAGGAGATGTTTAAGAATTTTTTTTTAGCTAAGGTCCTCTCAACATTTTGACAGAAAATTCGACTTAGAGAAATTTTGGCTTCATCTAAGAGAAATTTCAAAATTTCTCTGTGAAATCAGAAAAATTTCTCGAGTCGGGGCAAAATTTCTTTGATTCGGGCAAAATTTATTTGAGTCAAATTTTCTCTATGGAAATGCTGAGGGACCTGAACTACTATGAAAATATTATATATCCTTTATCTTATAAAATTTTAATATCCTTTATCTTATAAAATCTTAATATCAGGAACTTTAAAAAAAATAGGAAAATTTACCCATAAGTCCTAGTTTCTGAAAAGTTGAACCATTTAGTCCTAAAAGTTTTCTTATGTTCCATTTAGTCCCATTTGCACATCAATCTAATGTTTAAAACATTAATCTGATGTTCGAAATCTAATGTTCAAAACATTAATCTGATGTTTGAAACATTGTAATGGGACCTTTCAGTCTATAAGAAAACTTTTAGGACTAAACAGTGTATAAGTTATTAATTTGGGATTTATTGGTGCATCCCCCAAAAAAATATCCTAAATTATAAGATAGTAAAATAAACATTTGTTTAGATATTAAAAAAAATAGTTAAATTGGAAGAAGAAATAGTAATATAAAATTAAAAGTGATTCTAATTAAATAATTTTTATTTATATTTATTTGGAAAATAAAAAATATGTTGGAATAGAAGTTAATACACAATTTATGTAAAAAAAAAAATTAATTATAAACATCTTGAAGTTCGATTAAGAAAAAAAAAATACATAGATTAATTATGTAAAGTATTAATTTTTCTTTAATATATTCTTTTTGAATTATTTATACATATTATATACAAGTATATAAAATTTAAATTAAATATAAATTTTTTATAATAAAGAATTTCAAGTTAAATAGAAAACTCAATATACATTAATATTAAGATATTAACTAGCAGTTGACACGTGAAATACATGTATTATTTTTTTTTTAAAAAAAATTTGATGGTACGATGTGTGTGTTATAAATGAATAATTTTTATTTAAAATAAAAATTAAACAATGATTTTAATTATTCATTTTTGATAATATTAACACTATCGTTCTATAAAAGTGTTATTTAAATACTTATATATATTAATTTTAGTTAAATTATTTGTGTATTTTGATAATTTTAATTCTATCGTATTATAAAGCATAATTATCATATAATAATTTTGTATGATATATATTAAATTATAAGATAGGAAAATAAATATTCATTTTGATATTAAAAATAATAGTTAAATTAGAAGAAGAATTAGTAACATAACATTAAAAGTAATTCAAACTATTTAATTTTTTTTTTATATTCATTTGGAAAATAAAAACATGTACAAATAGAAACTTTATAAAATTTATTGAAAAAATTAAGCATGAATATGTTGTAGTTGGATTATCATATAATGATTTTATATGATATATATATATATATATATATTAAATTATAAGATTGTAAAATAAACACTCTTAATTAAATTAAAATAATAACTATATAAAATAAATTTAATAACGATTAATCATCTATAATATGACGTCAAAATATAGATGAACTTATTATTCAACAATTGAAAAAGTAATTCAACGAGTAAATCCAAATTTCAGAGATTCTTCGAGAGTCAAAAGTATCATTGTTGTGCAGGTTTTTCTCTTGTGAGTTGTGATTATATAAAATAGTATAGAAAAGATTTTGTACAATCAAAGTATTTGTAGTTGGATTTCTATAAAACTCAAATTGGGTTTGTAAAAGAAGTATTTATCAAATAGAGTTCATATAAAATTAGTATTGGGTTTGTGGATTATATGAATTTACGATGGAAAATATAAGAAAAAGAAGTATTTGTAAAATAGAGTCCCTATAAAATAGGTATAGTTAGTATAATTTAAATGGAAAATGAGTGGGAGCACTAATTAGTACTACCACTAATAATGTGGCAGTGGGTCCCACCCACGGCCACAATATTTTTGTGCCTTGTTTTTTTTCTTTTTTTTGGTTAAAAGTGGGTGCCAACTCATTAGTGGTGCTTTAGAGCACCACTTTTAGTGAGATGTATCATTGCTGAATTTAAATTGAGTTTGGGTTTGTGTAGAATGTAAATAGAAAATACATGCTGATGTGGCATTTTAAGAAAAAAGTAAACCCTTGGAATATGCCACCTAAGAAAAGAAAAAACACTACTTATATATAGATATATATGATAAGGTAGTCAAAAAAAATAAAAAAAAATATTTTTAATATTTGGTAGAAGAAAATTAATTCGTAAAATATTAATTTTATAGATAGCTTAGATTAAATATATAATATTAATTTTATAGATAGCTTAGATTAAATATATATATATATATATATTAACATATTTGATTTGAGCACTAATTAAGTATAAGGGTATATTATTGGGGCATTTTTAAAAGGTATAAAAGAAGGGGATTGTGGTTGGTGTTGTGTCTTGGGGAATAACACCCCTGTTGTGAGGCTTTGTGCAAGTGTGTCTTGAACCTTTTTTGATAATTTAAACTGTTCATATTGTAAGATTTGTCGAACATATTATTCATATAAAAATTTAGGTTAATCGGACATACGTAACCCCATAATTATTTTTGTTTAAAACAAATGTAATCTGTTATGGGGTTACAAATGTCCAATTGATCTTTTTTTTTTTTAAATGTATAATCTACTTGACGAACCTTATAATATGAATGGTTCAAATTATGAAAACAGACTCGGGACAAGCCATGATAGGTCTCACAACACGCATGCTATACCATAAGGCACACCACCTACCCCGATTCCGAAAAGAAGAGTGATGCACCACATAATATAAAAGAGTGAATAAAAGAAGAGAAGAGATGTAATGACCCTAATATGCGTATAAGGAATTATCTTTATTTATCTATGGGTTAATGTACTTTAATCATATCTGTTCGAATTGAAGAATTATCTATTGAGTTACGACTTTAAAACTGGAATTGACGACCTTTATGGGTTCAGAAATCGAAATTGAGTACATAGATATGTTAATGGGAATTTTTAGAGCTATTTGGGAAAATTAATTGGAAATTTATTTCGTCAGATTCGTTAAGGTATGTTTGGGTGGTTAACTTTGCACTGCAAATTGAAGGCCTTAGAGGTTTCAGAAACCAGAACAGAGTACATAGTTATGATCAGTATAATTTTTAGAGTCATTTGAAGAGTTCAATTGAAATTTGATTTCGTATGATTCGTAAGGGTGCTTTTGGCTCTGCCAAATTGTGATAAGCTTATACATAGTTAGATGTATAGATATATATGAGATATATGAGTTGAACTCAACATTTGAGCCAAAAATATCTAAGGGAGAGGGAGAGAACCGTGTGAGAGAGAGAGAGAGAGAGAGAGAGAGAGAGAGAGATTCTCTAAGAGAAGCTCACCATTCATGGGGGTTTGAAGATAATTGAAGAGAATTGAAGAGAATTGAAGACAGAGGAAGAAGATCAACCATGAAGCTTGGGAAGGTTGAAGAGATTAAGGGGAAAAGCAAGGATTTGAGTTAAGGTATGTGGCTTTAACTATTATCTTTGTAGATAATTCATTGTGGGGAAGTGGGTTGGAAATACTCTTCAGATCCTGGGAGATGCTAATGATCCTCAGCTAGTCACCTGAAAAGATACAAACACTCCGGTCGGGGGTGTCGGAATTAGCACTCCGACGGACAAGTCAGTTCAGACACTCAAGATAGCTTGTTTACTAAGTTAAGTGAAGTGATTCTTACATACCTCTCTAGATCTATGGTTCTTGTATTTATAGTTGCCTTTTGGGCCTCGGGGCCTGAGCCTACTTTCGTCCCATTCGCCTTTTATTTATTCGGAACTACTGATCTCTGGCTATTCGACCCTTCATAACGTACTCGGCCTTTACACAGTACGGAGCCGAATAATACCTGATTTTCGGGGTTCGCATCTTCCGACTCTTCTATTTATTCGGCTCCCACAATTGCCCCCCAAGCACTCCACTGACGACAGTTGGCTGGAGTGCTTGGTTCCGTATTTCGAAAAGCCAGAGTCGAAATTCGGCGGTTGGTCTTATCGTGAGGATATCTAAGCGCACCCCTTTCGATTGTCGTGTCGACTTCTCGCCCCTTCGTACGTGTCTATTTATTGCGATTTAAAATTTTGACATCCTTTCGAGTATGCATTTTACGACGTTCGTCGCTGGGCTGCCTTTTGAGTCGTCCCTGGAACTCTCTTCTCAGATACCCTCTTCATCCTTTGTAAATTCTCTTTCTGATTTATTCATTTTCTTGGTA